AAAATTTTCATATTTTTTTCGGCACCTATACTTGTGGGAGCTAGCAGTGTAATAGTTTATGTGTGACGCAAGCTGGCCGGGACACACCATTGTTAAAAAGTCATAATTGTGGCCTTTTTCTACTTTTTCCTTCTTCTAAGAGAAATATATGTAGAAAAGATAACTACTTTCCGGGGAAAAAATTTACTACCTTGCAGCTACTATCACGAGAAAGCACACAATAGAGCATATTAGATTGTAATATTCACAAAATAGTGTCATATTTTGGAGTCTATGGTTCATTCATGCAGTGAGAGCAAACATTGTTTGCAAAATTAAAGTAAGTTAATCCGAAGATAGAAAATTGCATATATAAGAAAGATATCTGCTCTGGCTTTCTAGGAGGAAAATTGTTTGCAAGATCTAGTGTTGGTGAGAGAGTTGATGCAACACCTTCTTCCTTTTCAGCTCTCCACTATCTTCTCTTTTGTATGTATACATTTTTTTATGCTTCCATGTCATTTACAAAATAATCTTGGGAAAAACAAAGACAAAAAAATCATACAATACTCACTTTAATCTCTTCAAGCTGTGGTAAAGAATGAGCATTTTCACAAAAGATGCAAAATAAAATACTTTGCTAACCAAATACTGCCATTACCTGCCAAATAAAAGTGGCTAAAGGAAAAGTTTCTGGAACATAGAGAAAGGGGCTACAAGACTATAAGTTCGAACCTTTTCTTTTTCGATGACAATGTTGCCCGGTCCAGCTTATGCGCAAATCGACTATTTCACCAGGTACCTGCTACTTCCCACCGGCACAAGTACCGAATAACTCTTCCCACCAAGGGCTACACAAATATGAAGAAATCACCTAGTGTGTATTTTGCCTCTCTAGAGATTTGAACTTGAGACCTCACAATTGTCCTCCCACTTCATCGACTACTAGGTAACACCCTTGGGTGCATGGTGGAACCCTCAATAACCGAATATGTGTTTAAGATGTTAAAAATTGAAGATGAGGAAATAGAAGGATAGCAACGAGCACAACGAAGAATGAGGTCTTCCACCTATATTGTTGCTTTCAGATTTGTGGAGTCAAAAGTTCCTTAGTAAAAGATAGAAGTAGCTCTATTGAGGATTCATCATATAAAGAAGGATACCAATAATGAGATCTATTCTTGGATCAATTTATTCAGCATCCGTTTTTCTTATAATTCCCAGAACTGAATAGTGTTTCTTGGCGCCGACACCAGATCCAACTAGCTCTTCACAGAGGAATGACATGTGAATATAAAACATCATGTGTGTCATGTATAGTTGTATCCAAACAATCTAACAAGTACATAATGGTTCGAAATTTAGGAAATAAATTCACTTTCACACTTATGTCTTGACAAAATATTCCCTTAATTGAGAAGCAGTTAATAGATGAATAAACAAAATCAAGGTTTTTCAATTGACATGGGCACATACAAGGATTAATTACTCTTCAGAATATAGATCCAAATATCTCTTGGTTCTCCGAATATCAAGTCTATGACGAGCAAAAGATGACGCACTCTCCACCAAATTAGTAGTTTCAGATGCAGTACCCCATTTAACTTATTGAGTAGCGGAAATAAGGATGATGTTCTATAATGACATGTTTATCCTTTATAACACTAGCCAGACGATCCAATCACACTCCAGTAACTAGTTATGTTACATGGATCATTTACCGTGTCAAAACGTCGTGCATAGGTACTTTGTTTAGATTCTTCAAAGTACCCCAAAATTAGCTAAAAGAAAAGTACACATATCACTATTAGATATTCATCAATGTAATATAGTAACTATTCATCTTTGTAGCTGAATAATTACTCTAATAATAAAATTCATGACTCTCACAGAAGAGCTGAAAACTCACAACAAAGTCAAAAGAATTTCATATTTTATCGTCACCTATACTTGTGGGAGGTAGCAGTATAATAGTCTATGTGTGACCAGGAGCGGAGCTAGAAAGCTTTGGTTCGAACTCTATATTTGCCTTAAAAAATCTATTGAATATGTGAAAATTATTTATTTAGAACCCAGTAACTTATAACGATTAGAACCCAAACCCATAAGCTTGAAATCTTGGCTTTGCCTCTATGCTAACACAAGCTGGCTGGGACACACCATAGTAAAAAAAGGTCATATTTGTGGCTTTTCTTTTCTCTTTTTTCCTTCTTCTAAGAGAAATATATGTAGAAAAGATTACTACTTTCCGGAAAAAGAAAAAAGAGAGATCACTAATGTGCAGCCATTATCACGAGAAAGCAAACAACAGAGCAAATTAAATTGTAGAATTCACAAGATAGTATCAAATTTTGGAGTTCGTGTTTCATTTATGCAGTGAGAGCAAACACACACGGAACATTACAACCCATTTCACAGTTTCTGTAATTGACAATTAAAAGTGACGCTAAGAGATTAGTAGGAAATATAAAGACAGATGAAAAGGGGAACTTACAAATCAGATTTCGCCGGAGGAAGAAATGGAGAGCAACAATGGGCGGCTCTAGGGCAAGCACTACTATATTATAATATTTTAGATATTATTTTGATATAATTATTAATAAGAAATTTCAGATTTTAATATTTTTAATTTTGGCAGATTGATTGAATTAATAAGATAAATTTTTCTCTTGCTAAATTAAAAAATAAATTTATATTCTCATCAATTTTATTTTTCCTCTTTTATATGTAGTCTTTTTTTATATTTCTCACGATTTTACTTTCTAATTTCAACTCAAATTCTCTCAACTAATTATTACTTTTGTCATATTTAATTGATCCATACATCAAAAATAAGTTTTTTTGTGTCTCATCTTTTTAAACTAAGAAATTTCTGAAACAAATGTCGCAAGGTTCAAAACAAGATGGATAATGAGATCACCCCTCTACCATTTTTGGATAGGTGAGACTTCAATACCATATGATGTGCGCCTAACTCACACATCATACGTTAATCTCTCACCACTAGATTAAAGCAAGTAGGATTTTTTTTTTGTGGCAATATTATATTAATTTTATGAAAGACATTTTAAGGTCTTCAAATATATTTTGATTTTAGGCCACCAGCTCTGTTGAACCGCCCTTAATTGATGATTAACAATTGGCAGATCACTACCCCTTGAACATGCTATTCAACCAGCTTTATTTATATTTGGTAACTAAATGACATAGTCAGTGCCTTTAATGTACTTGTTATTATTATCTTATCTTAATTGTGGCTCTATGAAATTTTATTGAGAATGTAGGGATAGAAAAATGGCTCTAGTAGAAAAATAGTAAAGACTTGATTTAGGCACTAACTTTTTTTAATAAAGTACAAAGATTTCAATTTAAAAAAAAAAAAAAAAGATTGTCTACTCTTTAAAAGTAAAAATATTTAGAACTTTGAATTAAACTACTTAAATCTTCATATTAGTAAATATATTTTTACAACAATATCAAAAGTAACATACTGTAAATACATGTCTAACATTTTATCTATTTAAATTATCCCTCACTAATACAAATAATAATAATAATAATAATAATAATAATAATATTATGTGAAGTGAAAGTTTTCATGTTATTTAAGAATGTTATATTACAAATAACAAGTATGAATAAAGCGACAATACTAACTCTTCAATAGATGTATATGTATGCGTGCTAATAAAAAAAATATAAGACGTCTTATTAAAATTTAGTTTTAGGCCACTAATTTTATAAAGTCATCCTTAGAGAGCAAAAAGGAACTCATTTTTGTCAAGGGATAAAACCTCTAAAGAGCAATTGGAAATTGGGCCGAAAGTCTTTGAGCTCGCTAGGTTTTCGATACATAGGGCTCAAACTTCCATCGCCAGGCCCCAAATGTCTTTTTACTTAAAATAGTTCTTGGGCCCGCGTGTTTGCACGTGTATCCCATATTAATAAGTACTTTAAAGAATTACATAAATATTATTAAACACTCAATCATACTTTGTGGTAGGTGTCCCATCGCAAATTTCTTTGGAGCAACCTAAAGCATCCTGATGGAGCTATAATAGCCATCAATTGCGATGGTACATTTTTTAAAGTCAGAAATATTTTTCTTTTATAAAGCTGATTTTACAAGTGTAAGAAGTCCACATATACCTATTTTTTTTCAAGAATTCTTTAATGTAGTTCTTGAGGAAGGAAACAATTGAATGTTATGTGTTTTCAAGAGTGAAATTCTGAAAAGATGAAAGGCGGGAGATATTCCGTATCCAAAATATCATGGGTTGATTATTGTTATTTATAAGGGTAATTTTTGTCTTGCAGACTAAATTTGAGTTATAAAAAAAAGAGGTAGTATACGTTTCTGAAAATTATGAATGTTAATTCTATAAAGCTTGTGCAATAAGGAAAACAATCAAGTTTCTGGAAAGTCCTCAAATGACTTAATTATCGCTTCGCCCAAATTACTTAATGCAATTTTTAGATTTGCCTTCAATTAATGAAGTTATTTGATTGTCTTCTTAGTCTCTTTCGTGATAAATTAAAACAACATTAGGTATTCATCACTGATACTTTGAAGCTAATCACAACAATATTTAGTTGTTTACATATCCTTAAACCAACCACTGTATAGTTACGAGCTATTGTGATATATATAATAACAATACATGGCGATGAAAAGGTTGATTGCTTATCTATTTAAAATACTTCTTCTCACAATTTCCTCTCTTGACCCCTTTACTTGTAACAATAAATACTTTTCAATGTCAAATAAATTACGGTCTATATAAATCCTTAATGATCATATTCTTCATTTCAAATCATCTCAAGATCCATATCCCTTTAATTAATGGAAAAGAACTTTTAGATTATAGAAAAAAGTTTCTAACTAACAATCATGCTAAAATAAGCATAGAAGGCGCAAATGAATGTGATTTGTTTTTGAACAATTAGTGGATATTCTTTGTAATAACCAAAATATAGACAGCGCTTACGTGCTGGGCCTCCGACCCGGTTGTTCCGGACCCTACCCGTTGTTATTGAGGGTTTAGGGTTTTACTCCATTTTCAGCAAAAACCCTTCACATCTTCCCCAAAAAACCCCAAAATCTCGCAGTGAAAAACCAAAAAAATGGGTAGCAGCCAAGCAGCAGTATCATTCCTCACGAACGTTGCACGCGCCGCCTTCGGTCTAGGCATCAGCGCCACGGTTCTCAACTCCTCCCTCTACACCGTCGACGGTGGACAACGCGCCGTCCTCTTCGACAGATTCCGTGGAGTCATCGACGATACCGTCGGCGAAGGAACTCATTTCCTCGTCCCATGGCTTCAAAAGCCTTTCATATTCGATATCCGTACTAGGCCCCACACATTTTCCTCCGTTTCAGGCACAAAGGATCTCCAGATGGTCCACCTCACCCTCCGGGTCCTCTCACGCCCCGAAGTTTCACGCCTTCCCGCCATTTTCAAAACCCTAGGTCTCGAATACGACGAGAAAGTCCTCCCTTCGATCGGCAACGAGGTTTTGAAAGCCGTCGTAGCTCAATTCAACGCGGATCAGTTACTCACGGAGCGTCCACAAGTATCAGCTTTAGTTCGCGAGAGCTTGATCCGACGTGCTAAGGATTTCAACATCGTGCTCGATGACGTGGCAATTACACACTTGTCATACGGTGCGGAGTTCTCTAAAGCTGTGGAGCAGAAGCAGGTGGCTCAGCAGGAAGCGGAGCGGTCCAAGTTTGTTGTGATGAAGGCTGAGCAAGAGAGGAGGGCAGCGATTATTAGGGCCGAGGGAGAGAGTGAGTCGGCTAAGTTGATTTCGGATGCCACTGCAGCTGCTGGTATGGGATTAATTGAACTCAGGAGAATCGAGGCGTCTAGGGAAGTTGCTGCTACCATGGCTAAGACTCCGAACGTGGCTTACTTGCCTAAGCAAGGCAACATGCTTCTCGGTCTCAATGCCTCACGTTGAATAGGTAACTAATTTGATTTTGCTACTTGCTTTATGTTGTGTTATATGTAGTTCATATCGTACAATTTAATTTGCTTCGATAGTCACGGTTTAAACATGCTGAATCAGGAGGAATAAATAAGGACATTTCTCTTCCAGAAAGCTGCGAAATTGTGCCTTTTGTTTCATCAATTGTATGGTAATGTTGGGATATTTACTTTCGAATTCAAATTCTGAGGTTGTTATCCTTTTCCAGTTCCATCTATTTTGCGAAGGCTTAAAATCTCAGATGTCCTTGTTCTTTTGTTATATGCCTAGCTTCTAATGCTGCGATGCAGTAACTTGGTGCTTCTACACATTGATACATTAAGCTTGTCTGGATTTTTGATCTGTTGAATGCTTATTAAATATAGCTGAGTTTGCGATCAAGTAGAGCTGCAATGGTTATAGGTTCAGCAGTCATGAAAAGAGCACGAAAGATGGAGATTGTACTTATTTTCTTATGATCAAAGAGATTATACTTCTAAAATAAGGTAGAAGCTAGCACACTGATAAGGAAGGAATTTTAATGCTGATGTAACTAATTGCTTTATAAGCAAATCCTTAAGAATGTCTTTTAGCGAGAATTGCTATAGAGTGAGAGTGAATAGATCATCTACATCAATGCGAGAGATTCTGTAATTTGAGGCCGAGTATAGTCATATTGATCAATTTTGGAATAATTAGGCTAGTCCTTTTAATCACTAAGAGCAAACTAATGGTTAACATGGGAATCGAGATGATAGTATCATGGTAGCCTTTGGAGAAGTAACACAAATTTGCTTTGCAATAGGTCCCAGCTTTAGTGCAAGTTGACTGCTTTATTTGCTTTACTCTGGTTATGTCTAACTAGCTCATTTTAGCTCTACAATGACTCTAAATTTTGTACAGGTAGTCTACCTTCATCTGTTCTTCCGATTATGACCAAAGTAATGGCTTCATTTCAGTTTTGGGGTATAGTTCGTTTATCCTTACAATAGGTCCTACTTTTAGTGCAAATTGATTAGATTCATGTATTTTACTGACTTATGGCATATGTGAATGGCTAAATGAAAGGTGCTTCGGGATATATAAACCATTTTCACGTGGAGGGAAAAAGTTGACTTTTATGGAAGAGAAATGGAGTGAATATGTAAGACCACCAGTTTATTCCCTTGGACCATTGAGTGGTAAGGACTTATTATTAACAGCAAGCAAGGACTAATTTTAGTTAATTTTAGGAATGTTGGAGTTTTTGCTCAGAAGGGGAGCCTTGGCGTAACTGGTAAAGTTGTCTCCATGTGACCAGGAAGTCACGGGTTCAAGCCGTGGAAACAGCCTCTTGCAGGTATGCAGGGTAAGGCTGCGTAGAATAGACCCTTGGGGTCCGGACCCCGCACATAGCGAGAGCTTAGTGCACCGGGCTGCCCTTTTTGGAGTTTTTGCTGAATTTTTATCAGAAAACTACAGCTTGTGTTTTTTGTTTTTTTCTTTGGTGGGGTTGAAAAAGAAGTGGGCACAATCTGCTGAATAATCCTTGAAACTAATTTTCATGAACAATTTTTGGGGATATTTCTTTTGTATTGCATTCAAAGTTTTATTTTTGCACTGGTGAATTGGGCAGATATACTAGTTGTAAGGTCCTCTAGGAGATGTTGCTTCCGTTAGAACCAAAGATATTTGGAAGAGGTTTAAGCTGTAGCAATGATCAAAGTATAGTTTTGTGATTATGCTACAGTCTGCAGTATTTTGTCTTGTGTTTGCTTGGTGGCTTCACCAAATACTTGTTATATACAATGTCAGCTTAATCTTTCTTGTTTGAGGTATTCAATCACTCCTGAGGATTTCAATCAGGTGAGGAAGTCACCTATTCAAGCGTTGATGCCTTCTACGTTAGTAGCTTTAGCTCTAACAACAATGGGGGCAATTCCTTTTTTCCTTTAATAAGGAGGATAAGCTACAATATACAAATAATGTTGCTTGTGATTTGCCTTGTGATTTCAATTGTTTCCTTGTTCCCTAGCATGGAGAGGATCTTTATGAGTGTTGTTTTTCTATTTCCAGCACATTTTAGTGTTCTATTACACACCGATGGTATTTGCAAACTAGTTTAGGAGGTCGCACCTCATATTTATGTAGTGCTATCCAATTCCTCGCTTAATTTATCCCTCAAGCTGAATGAACTTGACATGCTCTTTTAGTTTAGGGCTATAGAGTTTACTTGCCTTTTGCTTTCTCACTAATGGCAGAATCATGTGCTTCATCACTCGACTCTAAACTAAATTAAAAATCTTGACAATAGGATGACAAGTTTTCACTCTGGAAGAGTAGGTTTCATACCGGCAAGACCTATCAAATAATCTGCTCATTTCGCATCAACTAAAGCAGAATTTAATCACCAGGTAGAGTTGTATAAAGTCCGGACGAGACTTGCTCTTTTTTGATATTGTTCGTAGTTTGAATCAACAGTATTCAGGGGAGGAGCCCTGGACACGGGTGGTCAGGAGAAAAATAACCCCATGTGGAAACTAGGAAGGGAAGAGAAAAATATGCACTTGCCCTCAATCTAGTTCTTGTGTTAAAACCAAAGTAATGAAGGAAAAATTAAAAAGAAAATAAATGGCATAGCAAAGCAAAGCAAAGCATATATAATAAGATAAGCACCTTGATTCACAATGTAACTCCAGTGAATATAACGTCTTCAATTTTGAGTTTACACAATCAAATTCAAATACACAAATTAAGAAGCTGATTTCAATGGACCAATGATTAGCTAAACGAGACCAGAATTGATGTTCCTCGGAACATATATCGAAATCAAGCAAAACTCATAACTCTTAGGGGTCGTTTGGTATGAGGTATAAAAAGGTATAAGGGTGGTGTAAAAATTTAATACCACCTTAATATTTTGTTTGGTTAGCAAATCAAGTATAAGTTATCCTGGTGTTAATTTTAACACTGGAATAACTTATATCTTATAGAAGAAGGGGTAATTAGCACCGGTATAACTTATGCCTTCTTCTTAGAAATTATGCAATTGTCATTCTTAATACAACATACCAAACAATGAATAAACAACAACCCCAACATAACTTATCCCAATATAACTTATACCGACATAACTTATATCGGTATAAATCGTATTCCAACCAAACGACCTCTTGAAAGTTACTAAAAAGGCGTTCTTAAGTACCAATTGAAGTCCCATTGTTAAGATTTGCAACTAGACATTTCTCCACTTCACCAATTTGGCCATTAACTGGTAAACATATCCAAACTACTACAAAAACAACAATCCCAGTATATTATCACAAGGGGATTTTGGGGAGGGTAATGTGTACTTAAACCGTACCCTTACCTAGTAAAGGTAGATTGAACATATCCAAACTAATGATAAAACCAATCGTTTGTCCATTGATATATTAGTGTTGAAATTAAAAGCTAGAGTTTAGTTCCCGTTGAAGTTAGCTACTTCAAATAATTCTCTCGTGACATCTAGGGGTGTTCAAAACCAAATCGAAACCGAAAATCGAACCGAAATCGAAGCTTAATGGTNATATATATATATATATATATATATATATATATATATATATATATAATTTATTTTTATCCATATACATATTAAATAATCAAAAACCTTTCTTCCTCCGGTACTCTATCAAAGTGAATTAGAATAAAAGAAAACCAAATAAAAGGAGTCATCTAACTGTGACAAAAGACAGATTTGTTGTCTGAAACAAGATAACAACACAAGTTACACTACTACTTCATCAACTTTGCCTGGATTTTGAGGCATCCTAGAATTCTAAGTATGACAAACATTTGTTTTAACAACAGCCAATTGGAAATCTTTCACATGAACTAAGGCCAATGTCCATTTACTATTAGTGTTAATTATAAAAGGTCAAAAATCCCCATTTGAAGTAAAAGAAAATACTAATGGGTTTGTCTTTTTCTTCATTTGTACCTATGCGTTCAGACACAAGCCTTTGAGATATTCACGAGAGACCAAAACAGTATTTGCATCTTTCTCTGGTTGGTTTGATTTTGAGTTTTTTCATTTTCAGAACTCAAAACATGTGTTTCGGTGTTTGGTTTGGAACTTTTAACGTTTACTTTCCCACTATTAAAATTTTTATTTTATTTTGATTGAATTAGGCCGATAAACCGCTCAATAACCGCCCGATAAAAGCTAAACCGATACCAATCCGCCTGATATCTTATCGGGTGGCTAGCGGATTAATACATTTAAAAGTCGATAACCGATAAGCCAAACTGTTAAGAGTAAATAACCGCTCAATCCGCCCCACAAGTAACCCTAGTGACATCTATGTATTTAACAAAACAAACTTTTACCGGCAAAAGCTGGCCTTATAATCTCCTGATTGTTAAACCCAAAAAAGAAAAAAGAAAAAGTAATAGCGAATATGTGGAAGAGGAAATTATTAAAGGGGAAAAGTAGTTTAAAATGTTCAAGGAGTTGCTGCATCTTATTGGACCAGTTTCGTCCAAAGTGTAAAAGGGAAAAATACATTATACAGTTGTACTGATGCTCCCAAAAATAATAGCCAGCAAATTATATATGTTTCGTATATTAATATATAATATATGTATATCAGTATATATTTTTTTATATATTTGGCTAGAAAATAGTATAATTATTTTCGGTTACCGGTCAAATATATAACTTGACTAAAAGTAAAATTGTTATCAGGCCCACTTAATAACCAATCAGACTTAGAACCCGGAATCGACCCACAAAGCTGAAAGCCCCCTCCGGTTCCCACTTCGCACGCACAAAAATCAAACTGAGAGGAGGAGAATCCTAAAAGCCGCTTAGTCGAGGGTTTATTGAAAACTGTCTTTCTGCCCTTCTAAAGTAGGGATAAGGTTGAGTACATCCTACCGGTCGCAGACCCACTTGTGAAATTTCACTGGATTGTTGTTTTTGTTGTAATTACTATATGAAATCTTCAGACATTCTTTTGAACATCAAGAAGTGTGCTAGGATGAACGAGATCCCTTCGTCGTTAACTATAAGTTTTGGATCCGCATCCGAAAATTAAAAAAATTCAGATAAGGTTATCCAAAATAATATGTAGACTGATGATGTCCATCTCATTGAAGAAATATTAGGCATGTGCCTAATAAGAGTTTTCTTTGGTT